ATGGAATCACACCCACTTGGTTTTGATACCTAAGACATCCTCACCAGTGACTCCAAATCATTTTTGGCCAATAAGCTTATCCAATGTCAAGTACAAGATAATTGCAAAAATGTTAACAAATCGTTTGAAGCGTGTTATGAGTGATCTGATTGATGAGGCTCAAAATGGCTTTGTTCCGGGAAGAAACATTGGTGAAAACATTTTCGTTGCTCATGAGATCATTGAACACATCAGAAAGAAGGAAGGGAACACAGGATTAGCAGCCATCAAACTGGACATGAGTAAGGCATATGACAGAGTCTCTTGGCCTTTCCTCTAAGCAGTCTTACAAAAATCACATTTTCCTACATGGTTGGTTTCCCTTATCATGCACTGTATGTCTTCAATTGTTTACTCTATCCAGTTTAATGGCGAGAGCTTGCCCCCATTTTCTCCAAACAAAGGTCTCAGATAGGGATGCCCATTATCCCATATTTATTCATCTTGTGCCAGTTTTGTCCTCAGCCATTAGATCTAAAATCCAAAACTTCCCAGGTTTGGGAGTGAAAGTTAACCGCAGTGCACCAAGAGTAAGCCACCTCGTGTATGCTGATGATAGTCTCTTCTTCATAGAGTGGACGGAATCTTCAGTCTTAGTTCTAGCAAGACTACTTGAGAATTATGCCACCTTCTCAGGTCAACGGATCAATCTTCGTAAGTCTTCCATCCTTTTAAGTGCAAACACATCACAGGACATGCAACACTTTGTCCATTCTACCCTCAAAATTCCAGTTGGCCCATTCCAAAGCAAATACCTAGGAATGTCTTTGGACTTCAAGGAGAAGAAGAAGGTAATATTCAAGGAGTTCCTCACCAAGCTCAGTAATAAGTTTGCCTCGTGTAAAATAAAACTGTTATCTTTACCTGGAAGAGTAACACTAACAAAATCGACTTTGTCTTCAATGTTGGTTTATCCAATGGGAGTTTTCAAACTCCCCTCTCATACTCTTCTCAAAGCAGATCAAATCATTGGTAACTTTATTTGGAAAGGAGACACTCATGATAGGAAAATTCACTGGAGGACTTGGAAGAAAATAACAAAGTTGCAGTTTTGTGGTGGATTAGGTTTAAAGGCTCCGAAGGAATTCAATCAAGTTCTACTAGCGAAACATGCATTGAAGATTCTGTCCGCACCAACTTCATTGTTGTCCAGAATTATCCGTGCTAAATATTGTTTTAATGGTGCCTTTCCTCCTCCCTGAACTCCAAACAATCCATCTTGGGGATTTAAAAGTATCATGTGGGGAGCAGAGCTACTTCACCAACACACAAAAATGGAAGGTTGTCTCACGGAAGGACATTCTCATTGCTGCAAATTGGATTCCAAGTCACGCTATTCCCATCAGCAATGAGTCTATCATGGCTACCCACTCTAATCTGAGAGTTAACAATTTCATCAAGTCTAATGGTCAATGGAAAATTAACTCTCTCAGGACCATTTTTCCATATCATATTCTCCCTTATATTACAGGGATTTTTATAGACCTGACAAGAAGGACTCACAAGGATAAACTACAGTGGCTTCATACAGACCATGGTCACTACACTGTCAAGTCAGGTTATCAATTGGCCATCAATGCTCTCCTTCCACAATCTATGCCAAGTCCAGCAATCCAGAATGCAGAGAGATTAGCTTGGGAGTGACTTTGGAACTCCGAGTTCAACTCAAGCACAAGTTCCTTTTCTGGAGAGCATTACTCAATGCTCTATCTACACGATCAGAACTATGCAAAAGGGGTGTTCAAGTAGACCCATTATGCCCCAGATGTGGCAGACATGAGGAAGATAGCTTACATTTATTCTTTAAATGTGAAGCATCTCAGGCCATCTGGGCCTTGGCTTTTCCTCTCTTTGGCTTCATTTTCAATGCTACATATGACTCATTGCATCAATGGTTCATTAGTTGGACTCAGTCTTATCCCACTAAAGAGGATGTTGATTTGTTTCTGATCATCACTTGAAGGATCTGGCTAGAGAGGAATGACAAGATTTGGAGAAACCAATCTAATGATTCGGCAATATCTTGGAAACTTATTCAAAACGAAGTCATTCTTCATAAACAAACTCTTAGGAGATTGGGAGCTGGAAAGTCCTCCACCAATTCACAACCATCACAACTGCCTTGGGGTCCAGCTGATTCCTTTGTCATATTTGATGGATCGTTCAGTCATCAGTCACGCAAGGCGACTGATGCGTGGAAGATAATACCACCTCACGGTATGGTGATGCAAATCAAAACGGTGGATCTAAGTGTCCTTTCTTCTTTTCAACCCGAGGCAATGACTTGTCTTTTGGCGTTGAAGGATGCATTGCATTTGGATCACCTGACACCATGTTTATACAGACTGTGAAGCTTTGACTGGAGATTTACGGTCTGCTTTTATACCTTCTGAGGCTCAGGAGGTGATTTCTTTGTTAATTAGTACTATTTCCTCATTTCAATTTTGCTCGCTGATTAAAGTGAATAGGCAAAATGTTATAGAATCACATAATCTAGCATTTCATAGAATGCGTTGTAATAGTTTCGGTACTTCTTCTTAACTAATATACAGGTAATTTTTTTTTAAAAAAAAGAAAGTTTAGGTTCCTTTCTTCAAAAAACAAATTAGAAAGAAAGAAAAACGCTTACTTTAATCAGTCACTGGATTATGTTATGTTGCAAATCCAGCAATCGAAGGTAATTTAAACTAAACGCCTTAATGGGCTGTGTACGCTGGGTTTGGATTACAGCTTATGATCTTGGGCTTACATACTCGTCAATTTGTCGGTTGAATTTCATTCACTCCATCGGTTTCGAGGTTTTCTGTTCCATTATAAGCTCATTTTGGTTGTTTTTCCCCCCTTTTTTACTTTTTTCCTGTCTTGGATTTTCGAACATCAATTGCGAAGAATATACACTGTATTTTGAAGCAGGAATAACGTACATGATCATTTTGGAGGTAGTGGGGAAAAAATTATAGAGACATTGTGCACTTTGTTTGTATTATTTTTGAAAAGGTATTGTGCATTTTTTTAATTAATAATTTGTCCAAACTTCTCAATACTGAAAATGCTCCAATTGATCAGACTTTCTTATTCTTATCCATGCTAGTTATTTATGGTAAATTGCAGTACACCCACTCAAACTTTCAAAAATATCAAAATGCTCTTTAGACTTTCTCTCTTTTAAAGAAAAAATGCGAGGGATACTGTTTTGATACTCTCTTTCAAAATACATACATGTATATTATATACAGTATGTAGAGATTTAATGAGGCATGAATGATGATGCGAACCATGTTGCTAATATATATTTTTTTTTTAGAAAAACATTCATTTGTTAACGATTATTGGAAAAAGTCCAACACCACATGAGATACAAAGAAATAGGTTCACTCTAGTTTCAATTACATCAGACAATTTGACATATTTAACAAGAGAATGAACTATGGCATTATCCGGTCAAGGAATCCAAAATAGATGAGCAACCGAAAAATCAAGACTGGAGAACAAGCAGCAGGGCCGTCGATCTCTTCTAAAGCCGCCAGAATAATAAGAGAAGAGTCACCATGAACAGCAACATTTGCAAGACTAAGTTTTCGACAAAATAGTAACGCTTCTCGCAAGGCTAGTAAATAGTAATGTTGCTAATAAATTTAAATATAAGGATTTCAGAATAATTAATACACGACGGAGTAAAATGGAAGACCACGTTGTTACCAACATTAATCGTACTATAAGCAAATCATCATATGTATTCCCGTCTATAATCAAACAACTACGTAGTACATACGTATTTTGGTATATTAATCTAAGTATATTATGACTAATCTAACCTCAATCGAACCATAGGTTACAAGATCAATCCAGATGGTGTGTTTAAGAAAAATACCACGCCTTTTCTCTCCCTTTTCTAAAATGAGTATGAACTAATAATTAACTGGTGAGAGCATTACCGAATCTTCTTCGAATCTCCTAGCTTCATCAAACCTTAAAAGTATACATTAATTTAATCGACACACTGAGAAGATTCAAATCAAACAGTCGAAAACGGTGATCTTAATTATTAAAATAGTACTCCCTTTCTCCCATAATTATTGTCCAGTTTAAGTTTTTATTTTTAGTTCAAATTGAACTAAAAGTAAAATTTCAAATTGAACAATAATTTTAAAACAGAAGAGTATCACACATTTTTTGGATGGTATTAATTAAGGCTTATGATGTGCTACTAAAATACTCACAATTAAGACCACAAACCCATAAGGTTTGTTTACACATTCCATTTTCAAAATTCAGACTTCAAGGTTTTTTTGATCCGTCGGTGGCACGACTTTTTTCTGGCGTCCAAACTCCAAAGTCTATTGAACGAATTTTCTCGATAATAATTATATTAATTACTACTGCATGCTCATACGATTCATAATTATGAGTTGGCTAATACTCCTTCCGTCTCATAATTATTGTCCAATTTGAGTTTTCATTTTTAGTTCAAATTGTAATTAAAATGAAATCTCAAACTGGACAATAATTTTGGGACAGAGTGAGTATTTTGTATGTATCATCTAGATTCCAAACTAAATGATTGATTTTCTAAGGACCTAGGTGCAGCATTTTCTATGGGATGATTGATGCAGAAGCTCAAACTCCTGAGAAACTAAATTCATGGAATGAAAAAGAAAAAAAAAAAAGGAAAAGAAGAAGAAAAAGAAGAAGAAGATTTGGCATACTTAATGATAAACGCATAAATCTGAAGAAGGCAGAAATATAAAAAATCCTTCACCTAATTCTCACGTTCGACACCATCTCATACCATTCCTAATTAAGTGACTAATATTTAAAATGAAAACCTAATTGCCTACGCAATGAAATTAAATAATAGAACACACATTTAGCAGCCTGAGAGAGAGAAAATATTAAATTAAACCTCCTATGAAGATTGCATAATAATAAAGTTCTACAACTTGTATTAAACTATATATAATCCAACATTATGTCTAAATCCATCCCCTAACATTATGAACACAAAAGTACAAAAAAATAATTCGCCAGGGGGAAAAATAACATCGATCAAAGGTAAATTAAAAGGAGACTAAAACCTATTAACATGTATTTTATAACAATAATACGTATATAAGAAATGAACCAAACCCTACTAATTAAAATCAGTACTCGGGAAGACCCTTCATGAACTCCACAAACGAAGGCGAAAGACTAATATTCGGAGAAGCGAAAATCGCATCTGGATATCTAAACAAAGCCTGAGGCGAAGCGGAGAACAAAGTGTTGGAATTGTTGGGAGTGAACAAAGGGAAATCATTCAAGTGAGGATGGGTTTTCAATGCTTTCTGATGAACCGGTGACATTTCGTGATCCGGCCGGCCGGCTTGTTCGTCACTCGTGACCGAAGAAGAATCGTTGTCTTGATGATAATGATGATCAGTTTGAGGCCCGCACTTGTCTGATTTCTTGTTGCTGTATTCGTCGTCATGATGATCATCATTGTCGGGCCGGGTGAATCCGGTGAGCTTTTGAACTAATGCCATGAAATCTTTGGGTTTGGTGTGAATGATCTTGGGAGAATGAGTGTAAATGATGACGGGCTGTTTTCGGGGAGGATTCAACTTGGGTTTGTGAATGACATGAGAATCCTTGTGGAGTCTTAAAGGAGAAGGACGAGGGCCATTAAGAACATTAACCCTAGCTGCATAAGACTGATTAGTCATGTTACTGTCATCCATAATAGCTAGCTAGGCCTTTGGTTCAAAATTTGAGAGAGGTTTTTGAAATGGAAGGATTAGAGGGTGATTTGTTTTGTTTTGAGAGTTGAAATTTAAGGTGTAAAATAGACAGAGAGAGAGAGTGAGGAGAGGAACTAGTCAGATATATAGGGGAAACAGTTGGAAGAAAGATCAAAGAAGGATGACGATGAGAGAGAGAGCGAGAGAAAGAAATGTGGATGGTGACAATTTTGTATGGAGATCTATATTTTATGGGAAAATTTAGCCTACCATTCTGACCGTTGACATTTTTCAGGGGTTTCATCTACTATGAGTTGTTCAATGGTTAGGGTTTATCGGAATGCAGTTGTGTGAGAGACGGCTAAAGTTACTGCTTTTGCAAGTAAACCTCTTTGTAAAAAAAAAAAAACGTGTTTTTTTTCCCCCCTTCTTCTTCTTCTTTCAAAGAAGCCTCTTGGGTTAAAAAAGAAAAAGAAATGCTGAAGTACAGAGTGTGATGATTTTCTAAGTCGTGTGAAATTTCAATTTCGGATTTCAAACTTTTTTTTTTTTTTTGTGATCGAATTGCCAAAGCTAGTAATAACTACCGCTTTGGTTTTTGAAAAATTTGTTGACTAGCTATATACTATCATTGATTGAAATGATAATTGAAGTTGCATGACTGATTTGAGAATTTTTCATTGGTATAGATCAAAGTGGACTAAGCTAGCTATAATAATTAATAATAAGTCTAAGGGACTAATCATCGATGAGAGTCTTGAAGGTTTTAAAACCGAATTCGTACTCTTTTGTACTGGAAAATTTCATAAATTCAATTATTATTTTTTTTACAGAGATGAAGTAATATATAGGGATCAGATAATTGAAAACTTTGTTCATTCTCTATCGCGCACAACCCATATACATTGCATTAAATTAATGCATCATATGGGTTGCAATGGTGTATTTGACCAAGTAAACCAACAATAAACTAATACTCAAATTGCAAAAGCTAAGTAGAGACTATTCCCTTTGTGTTTGGTCAAAGGTATGTATGTTACGTTGATGCAGGCTGCTGCATTCATGGGGTTTCAATTTTTATTTTTTTTTCCGGATGTTAACATCAAAGATTCAAGATTCGTAGTCTAAATTGGTAGTTAACAAATGAAAATGTAGACCCCCAAAGAATAGCCAAATCAAGTTGTTTCTTGTTCCGATTTAGTAACTGACTGAATATTAGAATTAGTCCATATGTATACTATATAGTCTTAATCAAAGGTACTACATCACAGTTATATTTTGCATCAACTTTTTTGCCCCTAAAGAAATTTTGCTTGTCAGGAAAAATCAGACTTTGAAGATCAGTTGGTATGATTGACTCTATGCTAATTTTTTTCGTTCGCATCATTTGAAAACAAGAAATTGAAAATGAAGAATTGAACATAGGGAGTTAAATATAATTTTCTTTAATTAGTTTATACTAATTCTTTAAAAAAAAAATGAAAAGGGGCGTGCCCCTAGCTCCGTCACCAATTATGTTGGTAAATGTACATTGATTTGCGGCTATCAGAAATTTATTGATTGAACTGGTAAAAAAAAAATTGTGGTTACGTACAATCGTGGGAAATCTCTCTTTTTTTTTTTTTTTTTTGTATATAACATAAAAGATTAATTAATTGATGAGAGAACCGGCTAACCTCCATGAGTCCATGGTGGTGGTGACCGGCCGGGTGAGGCAATATCTGGGGGGCGCGACCTGAGAAAATAAAAAAGACTTTGACGAAATAATAAATCACAGATGAAGATGAAGAAGAAGAAGAAAATTGTGTGTCGGGTTGTGCGACGGTCTGTTTGGATTATTACTAACCGAATTGAAAGGATTGACTTAGCCCATTTGTCTAATCTAACCACTTCTTTTTTTATACACAATAATGTTGTAGCAGTAGTAGTATGATGTCCGATGACGCACGCACCCATGAAATTGACTTTCTCTTTCTGAACAATAAAGTTGACTCTCTAAACCAAAACTCCAAGAAAAGACGACAGCGACAAAAATTCAGCCAGACTTCGTAAAATGAAGAAAGTTATCAGGGATTCAAATGGGAATACTTGTGACTTCAATTCATTGAGGTAGGGATTCAAACTAGCTCTTGGGGGAGTCCTAATTGGATTCATCTAACGAGAATCATCGTGTGAATATTTCAAATTTTGCACTACTCATTTCATCCCATAATAATTATACAGTAATATATTCTATTGATTGTATGAGAACTATGCTTTAAGAACAGAGAAAGCTTAAGTTATAAAAAGTGATCATACAACTTTGTTTATGCCAATTTATACATACATAAAGATTCAAATTAATTATTTTCTCTTTGTTCCAAACAAAAAAAAAATACTAGTCAGTATTGAGTTTTTGAGATTTATATTAATTTTAATACAATTCAATGTTGACTATTTTTATTTTTAGATAGCAGTAATATTTGCTAATAATATAAGAATAGATAATAATTTCAGTGTATTACAAAAAATAATTTATATTGTAATTTATGAATTGTATAAAGAAAATAGTATAATTCTATAAATTATATGTCATTATTTTTTTCAGAACAATTTTAAGAATGGTACAATTTCGTGTTTGACTCAAATAGGCGGTGAAAAAAAGCCGAGGGAAATAAATACTCTTAAATCAAGACCATCAATTAGCAATATAATCGGATAAAGTTAATAATATGTTTGAAAAATCCTTCTCCACTTCTAACTTTTAAGTCATTCAAGGAAAAGTTTTAAATAGTTCTCTAGTTTAGATTTTTATTAAAATACTCCATCCGTTCTAAAATTATTGTCTACTTTGTGCTTTCATTTTTAGTACAATTTGTATTAAAAGTAAAATTTTAAACTGGACAATAATTTTGGAACGGAGGGAGTATAAATTATAAAAAAATGATAAGTATAGTGACTAATATATAGTGAAAATAAATAGTGATTGAGTTGACCCCTATTTTGTTGGTACTTTACCGTAGAAATTATATATTTTCTTTCCAAAATTATATTTTTACCCTTAATTAGTATAGATACATCAGTCACTATGAATTTTCACTATACTATTTTACTAGATGTATATCGTTGCTATAAAATAGTATAGTGAAAACTCGAACATGATAGTTATTTTTGGGATAGCAGGGATACTTAAAATTTGATCTGAGGACCGTCTTTAAGTAAGCCCATTGGGCCCAATTAACCAAACTGTCTGAACTGGAAAATCGTTACTGAACTTAACTAATTAATCTTCCATTTTGGTTTTTAGCTCGTTACTAGTTCTCACGTACAGTAGAATGTCGGTAAATTAATAAATAGATAAATTCTAACAATTAATAACTTTCTCCGGTCCAAACTTGGGACAAGTATAAAAAGTGATAAAAATCGATAAAATGATAAGATAATAATATTTCAGAAAATCTCTTATATATCTATAGATCCCAGCAATACCATAAATTAATAAATGCCCGATTAACAAAAAATAATACTATTTACTATAAATATTTAGTAAAATATGAATTATTAATACTTGTTTTTTAGTCTCTATAGATGATATGAACTATGTATCGATTTTTAGTGTTCATAATAGTTTTAACACCTAATTGATTCGGATGCAAAAACAATTTCAAATTAAGTAAGTGACGATTCTTTTTTTCTAATACAAATTCTTTAAATTAATAATTTATTAATTTATTGATTATTTAATAATTTGCTAAATTAATAAATTTTAATAGTCCCAACACTAGTATTAATTTATAGAAGTTCTACTGTATTCTAAAATAAAATGTTTACGCACTAAAACGTTAAGGGCCCAAGAACATGAAGGTTGGAAGCACATAATACATTCATTTTGGGCTGGAACATCACCTGGGCTTTTAATTTTTTATTTTTGAACATTAAAAAGGTACATTTCACAGCAAAACCTTAAAACTACACTCAACCGCAACATATTAGCGAGGGAATTAATTACTGCTTTTATATATTTTTGTTGGCGCAAATTAACACTAAATTTTAGTTTAAATTTGGATCTTATAAGTAGGACCGAAGGGAGTACTATATAAATATTCAAACTAAATATCTATTTTATGGTCGAGAAAAATTATTGTAGCAGCATATCAAACACCCATGATTATTAGCAAAGAAAAGAGGAGAGTATGATCGAGTTTTCTCACTTTAACAAAATTACTGTGTATACCTCAATTCCCCCCATTAAGGTTTTATTTGGGTTAAAAGGTTCTGGGTTCTTTTGGGGCCCAAATCCCAACTCCAAGTACACTTTTGCCATGCAAACTTTCGAAGACAACTTTTTGTTGTAAAACAAAACTCACAAGTCTTAAAGCAAAGAAAACATAGATAATTGGTGGTAGCTATGATATGGGAAAAAGAATCACTAATGAATAAAATGAGCACTAAAAAGAGTTTCTATCTCGAGAAGGAACGCATTGATATTTACGCATGTTTAAGGAAAAATTTTTGAAAAAATATTAATTAATTTTTTTAATTTCAAAATAAGTATCGTTGAAAGAAAGACAGAAAAATCTCAAAAAATTGTGTCAAAAAAATTTAAAATTACTCCAAAAAAAACTCCGTTAAAATTACTCTATCAAAATTTATTTTCAAATAGAGTGAGTATACATTGGTACATGTAATGATGTAAACAACCATCTAAAAACAAAGAATCCGAGGCAATGTTATCAAGTTTTCTCTTTACTTGGAATACATGCTTCACCTCTTAATTGTTTAAAATTTAGATTTCCTAGACAAAAAATTAACGTTTTCAAGACCTAACATGCCTCTGGGGATGATAAATAACGCTCGACCATATTCAAATAAACACCTCAACCATGTTTAAATGCACTCATTTTTTATGGTAAATGGACCCTTCCGTATGCATTAAATACATAAGAAGTGAATGGAATATCCTCTCCATTTCAAAATATAAGTCACTTTAAAGTATGCACGAAAATTAAGAAGACAACTATTTACAATTAATATATGTGTCAAATATCTATTTCACCCATCATTAATTGTTTTGAAACTATAACAAAAACTAGAAAGAAAAGTAATTAACATTATTTA